CTTCCTTCCTTCCTTCCTTCCTTCCTTCCTTCCTTCCTTCCTTCCTTCCTTCTCTTTCTTTTTCTTCCCTCCCTCCCTCCCTCCCTCTCTCCCTCCCTCCCTCTCTCTCTCTGACATTTGGAATGCAGCAGCTCGCAGGAGGTTCTTCTAAAACCAGCTAGATGGCAGGAGGAGTCAGCAAGGACCTAACCAAAAAATAGGGGCTGTGAATCTGAGCCCCTCCCCCTTCTGGGTGCCGTTGCAGGTATTCAAGGTGGAGATCTTGTGTAACGGAAGGAAGCATTGCGTGGAGAAGCGCTACAGTGAGTTTTACGCACTTCATAAAAGGGTGAGTAAAAGGGAACCATTCTCCTCAGGGTTCAGCTTTTGGATTTGGGGCATCAGCACAAGAATGGTTGGTTAGTTGTTTTCTTTAGGGAATTTGTCCCCCACCCCACACCCCCAGTGTTCTAATTTAGCCAGAACGTTGGGATTTCATAGTGGTCTCCTTTCCAAACAAGAACTGTATCAGAGAAGGCCTTCTTGCAGCTTCTGGAGATCAGCTAAAGCTATGTGCTGCCACCTGCTGGAGACTCAAGGGAGGTGTCCCTGGGAGGAGAGCACAATGCAATAGGTAAAGGTAAAGATTCCCCTCACGTGTATGTGCTAGTCGTTTCCGGCTCTAGGGGCGGAGCTTATCTCCGCTACAAAGCCGAAGAGCCAACGCTGTCCGAAGACGTCTCCTTGGTCATGTGACCGACAGGACTAAACGCCTTCGAAGGGGCACAGAACGCTGTTCCCTTCCCACCAAAGGGGGTCCCTATTTTTCTACTTGCATTTTTTTAAACATGCTTTCGAACTGCTAGGTTGGCAGAAGCCGGGACAAGGGATGGGAGCTCACTCCGTTACGCGGCGCTAGGGATTCGAACCGCCCAACTGCCCACCTTTCTGATCAACGAGCTCCGTGTCTTAGCCGCTGAGCCACCGCGTCCCTTCCCAGCAAAGCAATAAACACGGCCCATTTCAGAACCGCAGCGGTTCTCGTTTGTCCACCTCGTAACAGGCCCGGTGTCCCCCTTCCTCTCCTTAGATCAAGAGGACCTGCCAGGTTCCTGATTTCCCACCCAAGAGGGTCCCCAAATGGATGGTGAAGGTTCTGCAGCAACGGCGGGCTGGCTTAGAAGCTTATCTGCAGGTGAGGAAAAGGCCGCGGAGGGAGGTGGTTATTCTTTGCTACTCCCATTTGCTTCCTCTTTCCATATTCCTCAGGGAGGGTTGACCACTTGTTGCATTTCCTACAGGGCGTCATCTTGCAGAACCAAACTCTTCCCAAGGAGCTGCTCCATTTTTTGAAGCTGTGGCAGGGCCAACAGGAGCCCCATTTGGGGTGAGTATCCCTGTGTGTGGTTTGCAGGTGCGGACGGCTGAGGTCTCGGAGAGCGAGGACTCGGATGAGGGAGGGGCCTGTGTGTGATGCAGGGATGGGGCCGGGACCACCAGGGAGTGGAGTGCTGCCTTTGGAGACTGTGGCAGCAGTGATGAAGAGATTCCCGAGGAGCCTGTGCCAAGTACACGTGCACGCAGGATGACTTGGAGGAAAGAACAGTTACAACAGCACGAGCGACTCGGGAGTAAGGCCGCAAGAGCCCCTCTCTTAAGAAATAAAAGCTAGCTGAGAAACTGCAGTTCTTTGCAGAAGGCAAAGAAGTTTGATACTTGAGCCTGGTGGACGTTAAAATATCAGAGTTGGTGTTTGGAGACTCTTTGATTTATTGTTTAGGAACTTTATCTGTTGTTCTTGGCAGCCTTGCAAAAATTTGGCAAGGCTTTTCCTTATCGGAGCCTAATTAGTTGGAAGCAGCCTTTGATCTGGGAAGAAACAGGATTCGTAAATGAAACATTAAAAGGTTGTGCTGCTGCCTTGGTCTTGGGTTTAGTCTCTCGGAACCAGGTTTGGGTCGGAACAATCCCTCAGGAGAGGAAACAGAAGGAAGGAGCAGCGTATCCTCTCTCCCCTTCAGGTGCCCACAGCTGGACCAGGGGGATTTGTGGCCCTCCAGGTGCTGTTGAACTACAAGTCCCAGCAACCCGGCCTTTAGTATAGCCAATGGCGATGATGGATGCTGCATGTGGTAGTCCAGGATCATTTCTGTTCTTCAGGGGGTTCCATTTTATTCTTCTCGCCTTGATCTTTCGGTGTTGCCGATGACCTGCTTTTTCCTTCCTCCCCCCCACCCTGCCAAAATAATCACAGCGAGGCCTGTTCACAAACCACAATGAGGTGTAGCGTGGTGACTTAGATCGGGTTCAGAGTCGTAGATCGACGTAGTAGAAGCAAAAACACACACCTGTGGAGTTGTCGGGTGCTCTCTTTGAAATGGGTCGTCTTGCAGACAATTCACTGCCCAGTTTTGCAAACCCCACTCCTCTCTAGCCCTGACAACGTCATCTAGTTGGGTAATGAAAGGTCTGCAAAACAGCAACCAAGCTCACAGAGCACCAAGGATTTCACAATTCAGTCCCTGTATTTTGGTGTTTTTTTTCCCCAACAGGTGGGATGCAGATTCGTCCTTCCAGGATTTCAGGCAAGTTGTTTTCTTTGCTTGAAGGGAGGGGGCTGGAGGAATCCCGCCCTTTTGCTGGTTGAGATGGAATCCCCAGTGTTTATTCCAATGTTTGCCAACCTTCTGTGTTCTAGAGATATTGGAGGGGGTTGGACAAGATGACCTCCAAGGTTCCTTCCAACACCGTTATTCTGTTATTCTTTGCACTCTCTTGATACGAAGCATAAAAACTTAAAACTTGCTTGCTGGCTAGTTTGCTTCTCGTCCCCTTTCTTCTTATAGAAAGGAAGATGTCCATCAAGTCAAGTGACAACCATTTGACTAAGATGGTATAAGGTCGCTAGCTTGAGCAGGGGGTTGGACTAGAAGACCTCGTAAGGTCCCTTCCAACTCTGTTATTCTGTTAACTCTTGGCCCTACTCCTGCTTGTTCTCTACACACAAGGTGGAACTTTTCTCTCTCTCAAAACAGCCCCTGTGCCCAGCTCTCTCACCGGCCTGGCGTAAGCTTCCACAGTGATCCGTATGTGCTCCCATCTTCCACAGGTAAGCCTTGAGGAAGCTGCTTTCCAGATGTTTTTTGGAGGGGAGGTCACAGAGGACATGGAATACCAGTTAGCACCTTTGGGACAACCCATGTCCTGGATGACTGAGGATCCCCATAGACATGAAGCTGAGAAAATTCAGATTAAGGAGCCGGGAGGACCTGTATCCTGCACGAGTCAAAAAGAGGGCTGTGCAAATATTTACAGACCCCTCACATCCTGGACATAAACTGGTTCAACTCCTTCCCTCAAAATGACGCTATAGAGCCCTGCACCCCAGAACAACTAGACACAAGGGGAGTTTTTCCCCGAACGCCCTCACTCTGCTAAACAAATAATTCCCTCAACACTGTCCAACTATTTACAAAGTCTGCATTACTATTACCATTAATCCTCCCGTCCTTCCTTTCACCCATCTCCTCCCACTTGTGACTGTTTGACTGTAACCTTGTTGCTTGTATCCTAATGATTTTTATTGTTTCCAAGTATGATTTGATTGCTTATTGTACCCTATGACTATCATTAAGTGTTGTACCTGATGATTCTTGACTCTTGACAAGTGGTATTTTTTCTTTTATGTACACTGAGAGCATTTGCACCAAATTCCTTGTGTGTCCCGTCATACTTGGCCAATAAAGAATTCTATTCTATTCTATTCTATTCTATTCTATTCTATTCTATTCCTATTCCTATTCTATTCTAATTCTATTGCATGTTACTCTATTCTATTTTATTCCATTCCATGCTATTCTATTCTATTTTTCTATTTCTAATCTATTCTCATAGCAGGCTGTTAACCAACGTCCCTCCCCTTCCTTGTGTAAAAGGGAAACACACCTGTTAAAACTGTCCTACTTCCACACAATTCCCTCAGAACCTTACTTTCAGTTTGGAACTGGTGCCTTTAAGCTGCTTCAAGGGGATTCCAGGGCCACACACTCTCTCTCACAGCTTCTGCAAGTGTTATACCTATTCTTATGCTTTATGTCCGACTTTCTTGACTCGGGTGGGGGCCCGAAGGCCCAAAATAGCCTGCCTTGTGGTTGGCAGCCACTCCGTAAGTGACAAAAATCACTTTTGCTTTCCCCACCGCAAAAGGCTAGGACATCTCCAACGGGCTCTTTTTTTTTTTTTTTTTTGAGACAGTGCAAAACAGCTCACAAGTTCTTCTTCCTCTTTTTGTTCAGATTTGCTTCCCAATATAATCCTGATCGGCGTCCTGCAGGGTCTCTACACCCAAGACCACCATCTGCCTGGAAGCAAAGCTCTTAACCGAGTCAGAGATGCCAAGAACGATTATGGCAGTGGCCCATGGGGTTGGTGTTCGGCTCCTTTCGTCCTTGCCTAGGGTTGCTTACGGAGAGGCCCGCTTTGCCATCATGTGCCTGGAGAGAGGAGCGTGTAAAAAGCAGAGGGGATGGAGGGGCACGACTATTCTGGCTGCACAAGCACCCACCTCACTTTCACCCAGCGGAGGGAAACAGAAAAAAAATAATCCATAGTAGTAGATCCTAGATTTGTTGAAAGTAGGGTATCCATTAAATGCACCGTGTTTTATTCCGACTGCATCTCTTCTGGAGAAGAATTCAGCCTTTGGGAAGCAGGTTGGCCTGACCTAGAAGCGGCTGCCACTTTAAATTAGAATTTTCGCTTTTTAAGATGCGTGGACCTCAACTTGCAGAATTTGTACCCAATTCGAATCCTGTTCGGTCTTAGCAAAGGGAGAAATTTTGTTGTCCTTTGTTGCTTAATTTCCCCCCTCTTCTCACCAGAGTTAGCTAGCTATAGGCTGGTCTTATTTTCTTTAAGGCTAGGAAGTCCTCCAAACAATTGAAAACTAGATAGTGTCAACTCATAAAATATTTCTGTGGTCTTTTTAGAGTTGCCAACAGAAAGGGAGGCGGGGAAAAGCGGCAGCTTGGAAATTGAAAGTGCATTGCATAGTTTTTTAAAGTTAGTAACTAGGTGACTGAAGTTTCTGCCGTGCAAATATCTAATTGGAGAACACGATTGACGACTCTTGGCTATGGATGTGTCCCATTGGAGAATATGAATTATGATACACCCAGGGGAGTGGTGGAAAACCAGGGTCAAGGGTGACAATGAATGATGTGTCTCAGAGTTGGCTACACCCAGGCAGTCCCCAACGTGTTAACTGCTGTCAAGATTCCGGCAGTTGCCCCCAATTAAATGAGTCTCGAGCCAAACTTCCAAAATGATTTATTGGGAGTTTCTGTTGGCAACTCTAAAAAGACCATAGAAATATTTTATGAGTTGACAGATAGGCTTTCAAATGGGTCACGTCCAATGTTCCCAGTAGGGCTGAGGAAAAACAGGAGTTGTGATCCATCATTTTGTGCAGTGTTTTCTCAACCTCAACCATGTTATGATGGGTAGATTTCACCTCCCAGAAGTTGGGAAATTCTGGGAGTTTAAAAGTTCACCCAACTGAAATCGCTGAGCTTGAGAAACCCTGATCCGGTGGGCTATCGTGGTTAAGACTAGTTCCTCAAAACCAAATTCTTGAAAACTACTCATACTGCAGAGGACGCCGTTTTCCACTAAGGTGCCCAGAACAGCTTCCTCTGTTTCCAAAACCGGAGGTCACTACGAGGATTTTACCCATCAAAAGGCAACTGTTGGGGACCTTCCACCCCTTGAACTGGGCTTAGAGCATGTGCTAAACCAGGTTTGGCCCCCACCAACCGCAAATGGACTTGAGTTCTCCTGTCCTTGAGGGATGAGGAGAAAGGCAAGGCAGACAAAGTTCTACAAAAAAAAAAAAAAACCCACAATGGTCATGTTTATTGGTCCATGTGCTTTTTTTACAAAAAAGAATGAGACAATGCAACGTCTCTGTCCCCCTCGGAAGGGGGCCTTGCCGACCACCGAGGCCGATGGTGGAAGAGGAAGTGTCGAACTGTGGTTGCAGAAATGGAGGCCCCACCACCCAGCATGGAAGGGGGGCTCAGCAGCTGGAGGAGGATGAACGAGGCCCCAGGAAGAAGGGTAGGGCCTCCAGCCCTTTTCCAGGCCAGAATCTGGCCCTTCAACAGCCCGAGATTATTCTTTGGCAATGGCGAATGGTTTTTCCACCTCAATGACATTGCAGTCCGCAATGATGACATCTTTCAGGGGTTTGTCACGGCTGTCTGTCTTGGTTTTTTCCACCTTCCGGACAACATCCTAGGAAAGAAGTAGTAGGAAAGTCCTGAGACGATGGTTCCCCCATCTACCATGGAGGACACCCCCTCAGGTACCTTCTGGCCTGCACCAGCTCAAGTTCTAATGGCCCCCGCTACAGCTTGGAAGATCAGTTGAGGGCCCAGGAAGATAATGTCATAGCATACGGGAAGTGGGGAGAGGTGCTGACTAGAGAAGGGTCATGTAAGAGGAGGGGGAGCCCAGAGCTTCGTAACAGGCCAAGAAAGCATTCTCCCTAACTTATCAGAGCCCTGGTGGCGCAGTGGTTGGAATGCAGTATTGCAGGCTGACTCTGTCGACTGCCAGCAGTTCGAGTCTCACGAGCTCAGGGTTGACTCGGCCTTCCATCCTTCCGAGGTCGGTAAAATGAGGACCCAGATAGTTGAGGGCAAATATGCGGACTCTGTCAAACACTTAAGAGAGGGCTGTAAAGCTCTGTGAAGCGATATATAAATCTAGTGCTATCTTCCTTCCTTCTCTCCTTCCCTCCTTGGGGTTAGAATGCAGCATTATTGCAAGCTACCTCTGCCCACTGCCATGAGTTCAATCCTCACAGGCTCAAGTTGACTCAGCCTTCCCAAGGTGGGTAAAACGAGGACCCAGATTGTTGGGGGGCTATAGGCTGACTCTGTAAACCGCTTAGAGCTGGAAAGCACTGTGAAGCGGTATATAAGTCTAAGTGCTATTGCTTTCAGGCTGTAAAAATAGAAGGCGGAAGATCTGTACTTTCAGACTCGCAAGATTCTATTCATTAGTCTGACAAATAAAGTAAAATGAGCTCATGTGGTCATGTTTCCTTTCTGGTCTCGCTGGGAAGGATGAGGAGAAGTGGGTTCCTCTAAAACCTTTATTTTTATTTAGGATAAGGCAGAGACCTGGGGTTTTTCAGGTATTATTAAACTCCAACTATCAATAGGTCTGGCCGGCAATGTTTATTTCAATGCCTGGTGGGAAAGTTGCCAGATCCAGCTTTATTTCATCGGAATGTCAGTTTAGAAAAGGTCTAGATTTTCAAGATCCCAAGGCAGCGCCAAAGTGAAAATGAAGATAGTTGCAAAAAGGATCACAAAAGACAAACCGGAAATCTACTTGGCGAGACAAGAATGGGAAGAATCATGCAGCCAGGCCATCACTGTACTGATAAATGTGATCTCTAGTCGCAACCAACTTTTTTACAACGATGCAATCTTTTTTAAAAATTAAAAAGGAAGTCGGAAGTACTGTTTTGGTGTATCCTCTAAATTTCTCGTTCTATGACTCAACAAGACATTCAAATAGAGGAAGGAGGAAACAACGGAGTTGTAGTAATAGTCAAATTTAACTCTTCTTATTTTCAACCCTTGAATCTGGATCAGCGTTTCTCACCTTCATCCACTTTTAGAAGTGTGGACTTCAACTCCCAGAATTCCCCAGACAGCAAAGTTTGGGAGTTGAAGTCCACCCAACCTAAAGTTGCTGAAGTTGAGAAACGCGGATACACTGTCGCTCTGTTGGCTGTGGAAGGGCACAGTCTGGCTAGGCAGAGCAGGGGAGAGGTAGAGCAAGGGAGAGGGAATTCGGAGGAAGATCCAGGCCCACCCCCTCTTCATCCTAGGGCACACGGGGAGGAACAGAGAAGGGAGCAACGTGAGTTGCGTGGCTTATGGAGGAGGAAAGGGCCCTGATTCCCTTCATTAGCTGCAGCTGGGAACAGAGCATCTAAAAAGAGAAGCTGCATACAACAACTTGTCGGAAGTAAATTGTGAGTTATCTGTTATTGTCAAGGATTATGGCATCTTCCCAACTGTGTGTGTTTTGTTGGCCTTTGAAGTCTGCAATTCCTTCTCCTACCCCGTCCAGTTAATTGCTGCAGGGTGGTTTGTGTGGACTTTTTTTAAAGTTTGTATGTACTTTGTTTTCGGACTGAATTTCCTCCACTTAAAGACTGTTCTTGGGAGAGTTTTTTTCTCCAGTCGAAGGTAACCAGGACATTGGGGGCAAAGTTGGAGGTATTAAAGGGACTTTTCTTACTTTATGTGACTGTGTTGCCTTTGTGCCACGCCCTTTTGGGTCATCACACCCAGCCCAACCGGAGTCCTACTCACCATCCCTTCCAGAACTTTGCCGAAGACAACATGCTTGCCATCCAGCCATGAAGTCTTGACAGTAGTGATGAAGAATTGAGACCCGTTGGTGTCTTTGCCGGCGTTGGCCATGCTCACCCATCCCGGCCCATAGTGCTTCAACTTGAAGTTCTCATCTGGGAAACGGTCTCCGTAAATGCTCTTCCCTGACCAAGACGAGAAGGTGAGAGATGTAATGTTGTCCAAAACAGAGACTTAAGACTCTCAACCTGAGATCTACCTGGATCTTCCGAACTTCTCAGGAGATCCCGAATCCTTTTCAGAGGTTAGAAGAACTTATATACACCAGTGGAACTCATTAGCAGCCGTTCCCTTGCTTTTCAGCCATTGCGTTTCCACAAAATCCTACACCAAGTTTCACCGATCCACGATATACCAAATCACCAGGTTCACGTGCCAATCTATCATTTCCAAATAATCTCTCTTTAGTTGGATTCACATGGCACCAAATAAACCGTATTATGGCTCAGGGTACTGTGTGAACTCAAGTCATCGTCTTCTCTTGCTTTCATAACTGATTATATTGCCCACTGGCCTGATATATATATACATATCTACTTATTGAAGCCTGCCTGATATAGCCATGAATTGTGACAGTTGGAAAGGGGATCGTTCATGTGACAGACCCAATTGTACAACCTTTTCCCACAGGTTGTTAAGCATCACGGTGGTTGCTCATCAAACCTATTGCTAAAGAGCCCTGGCGGTGCAGGGGTTAGAATGCAGTATTGCAGGCTGATTCTGCCCACTGCCAGCAGTTTGATTCTGACCGGCTCAAGGTTGAATTGAATCAGACTTCCGAGGTGGGTAAAAAATGAGGACCCATATTGTTGAGGGCAACAGGTTGACTCTGTAAACCGCTTAGAGAGGGCCGTAAAGCCGTATATAAGTCTACTGCTACTGTTTGCCATGGGGCATCATTGCCAAAAAAGAACGAAACACTTCAGAGAGATTTGAGTTTGGAACCACCTGAACTTCCTGTTATGGTCTGGAATCTTACCTCCTGTTCCATCGCCCCGGGTAAAATCTCCTCCCTGGATCATGAAGTCCTTGATCACACGGTGGAACTTGCTGCCCTTGAACCCAAATCCTTTCTGGAAAACAACAGCAGCAAAGCGTAAGAGTGGTAAGACGCAGGGCACTCGTACATCAAACATCAGCAGCGCACCGCTGTGCCAATCCCTTCCAGACTCAGTGGATTTATATGTCTGGAATCTTCCAACCGCACGTTGTCTCGGTAGACAGAAAGCGGATTCAAAACGTTCCTAAATCGAAACTGGGAACCAAAGAGCTTTTAAGCACGAAAGAACATCCTTTCTTGTTGGGAAGGTTGCCTTCTTGATCCAGGAGATCCATTCGATGAATTATTGTTTGGAGCGCCATCCAGAGTTATGACCCAAGAGAGGCAGCCACACAAATCTTCATATAAAAAGTTAAACAGATCCAATCCAGAGCCATGGTGGCGCAGTGGTTAGAATGCTATAATGGCAGGCAAACTCTGCCCACAGCCGGCAGTTTGATCCTGACTGGCTCAAGGTTGACTCAGCCTTCCAAGGTCAGTAAAATGAGGAGCCAGATTTTTGGGGGGCAAGAGGCTGACTCTGTAAACCGCTTAGAGAGGGCTGTAAAAGCACTGTGAAGCGGTATATAAGTCTAAGTGCTATTGCTAAGTGGGAAGGAAGGAAGGAAGGTGCATGGTAGTGCTTAGAATGCCATATTGCAGGAAAACTCTGCCCACAGCCAGCAGTTCGAGTCTCACCAGGCTCAAGATTGACTCAGCCTTCCGTCCTTCTAAGGTCAGTAAAATGAGGAGCCAGATTTTGGGGGGCCAAGAGGCTGACTCTGTAAACCGCTTAGAGAGGGCTGGAAAGCGGTATGTAATTCTTAAGTACCGTTGCTATCTTCCTTCCTTCCTTCTCTCCCTCCCTTCCAGTGGTTAGAATGAAGTATTGCAGGCTAATTCTGCCAACTGCCAGCAGTTCCGCAGTTCGATCCTGACCAGCTCAAATTTGACTCAGCCTTCCATCCTTCCGAGGTGGGTAAAAGGAGGACCCAGATTGTTGGGGAGCAAGAAGCTGACTCTGTAAACTGCTTAGAAAGGGCCGTGAAGCACTTTGAAGCGGTATATAAGTCTAAGTACTATTGCTAATCCAATATTATTAATAAATGCAGAGGGGTTTTATTTTCTTCATAATTTCAACCATCCACTTCCTGGGGTGATTGCCCCCTTCTATCCAACAGTGGGGCCAGTCCTGCTCAGAAAGAGCTGTCATCGTGAGGATTTTCCTCCCCACGACCCACAACTACACACTTTGCGTTCCCGTCACAAAGCATCATTACCTTGCCCCAATCCAGCCCCTATTTTTGCAATCACTCAGTAGCGTCCACACCGTGGAACCCGCGTCTGACTTACCTCTCCTGTGGCTAAGGCGACAAAATTTTCCACAGTCTTTGGAACTGTCTTTGCAAAGAGGCCAATGACAACGCGTCCCACCTCTTCCTCCCCAATCTTAATATCAAAATACACCTGGGGAGAGAATCAAAGGCTGCTATCAGGGACCTAGGTGCTTAGGCGAACCCGTTCCTATTCTGAATTTAGGCTACAATTCTTTTTATTTATTTATTTTATTTTATTTTTAAAAAATCTTTGTCAAATTTTACAATTAAAAACATATTTCCATTCATTACAGTGTGTTCGTAACTGCATTCACTCACACTCACATATTCCTAAGTATGTAAATTATTACTAAATTTTATTACAATTATTTTTAAAGTTTGTAACGTATATTCATATATTTACATAATTCTACACAATATTGTTTCATCTTATCATAACCTTTCTTTCGTTTATCTACTTTGTGTCTACCTTGTAACCAATTATACCATAGATCCCAAATTTCGTGGTAACTCTGTTTCTTCTCTTTCTTCCATTTCCATCGGTAGCCTATCCATCTCTGCACATTCTAAAACCTTTTTTATTACCATAAAGTGAGAGGGAATATTGCCACGTTTCCAGTTCTGGGTAAAGGCAACTCTTGCTGCAGTTATTATATGTAATATGATATATTGAAATTTCTTACTAATTTTATGTCTTAATGTATCCAATAGGAATGTCTCTGATTTCAATTCAGTTTTCTGTTTTGTGATTTCTTCAAGCCAATTCTTAGTTCTGAGCCAATCATTCTAAGCTTTAGGGCAAGTCCACCACATATGGAAAAAAGTTCCCCGTTCATAATCACATTTCCAACAATTTGCCGATCTATTAGGGAACATCTTATAGGCTACAATTCTTGGAGGCCATCTCGAGTAGCCAGGCACATGCACTTCATGGATTATGACAGGGGTCTCCAACCTTGACAACTTTAAGACTGGTGGACTTCAACTCCCAGAATTTCTCCTCCAGTCATGTTAGCTCTGGAAGTTGAAGACCACCAGTCTTAAAGCTGTCAAGTTTGAAGACCCTTGTTCTAAGGATACAAGCTAACGGGCACTAGGCTCAGATGCTTTTATATTAAAATATATAACGGCTTCATCTTATTATCTCAGACTAACACAGCAGGATCCTTTGCCAGGGGGACAAATAAGAGATGTCCAATCCTTCTGGCCTGCGTGGCTTTCCTCACCCCTCCCAAACAGGCTTCCTTTATTCACCTGGAAATCACAGTCCATTCTTTTAGTCTTTTGAAAACGCCATGTCCTCATCCTGGTCACCTCTTTCCTTAATTTTGGGGGCTGCAATTCCTGCCCCTACACCAGCCACGAGTCAATCCCACTGGATGCAAGTGGTGAGCAATCCTGCAGCATGTTAGTGCCCAAACAAGCAAGCAAGCATACTCCTGTGCCAAACCTTCTTCCTTCTGGGGCCTCTCAGATGCCAGCCTGCCAGCCCTCACCTTGCAAAATTCAGAGGGGACGATCAGATGATGGGCAATCCTATACCCAGAGGCCCTGTTTCGTGGGGAAGCGCCTGTGCCCGCATTACTCGCGTGCAAACGACCCCCGGATCTGTCCACTCGCCTTCCATGCTACCTACCGAGGCAGACCTACCTACCGGGAGGGGGGGGGGAAGGGGGAGGGCTTGGGCAGCATATATCCCGGCGGCTCTTTGTAATCTGAACGGTCGCTACCGCCGAATTAGGGTTCCCCGTTGGCCGCCCGCCCCGTCGGTCTTAGTACACGTGTGCGTGCACATCCGCACGCCGAGGAACCAAAAACTGGGCCAGCAGAGACCCCACCCCCACCCCCACCCCACCCCGGGCATTGGCCAGCTGCCAGGCTGTTTGCAACGGCGTTGCAATCCGAAGGGGTGCTGCACGAGCACCGGATCCTGCTGCGAAGCAAGGGGGTCGTGGAGAGGGGGGGATGCATGGGGAATATTGAGCCTGGGTGCCTCCACCCATCCCCCCCCCCCCCCCCGCTTGCTCACCTTCACCGTGACCTTGGGACCCTTCTTGCGCTCCTCTGCGTGAGTGCCTGGGAAGAGCAGCAATAGGAGACCCCCGCCCAGCCCCAGCAGGGCCGCAGCCGTCAGCAACTTCATCTTCCTGCGTTCGCAGCTCCAGCCACGCCAGCCCGGCCACAGTGCCCGCCGCGCCGCCAGCATCCGCCCCCTTCCCTTCGCGATCCTTTCTTTTCCCCGCCCTCTTCCCCCCTGTAGCCACCCTAATGGTACAGTCCCGAGACGGGAGGAGCGAGGGCTTCAGCGGCGGGGATTGGCGCGTTCCATCGCCGGAGGGGGGGAGGGAAGAGAAAGAAGATAGGCGAAGAAGCCCAGCTGCGACAAAGGAATGCCACGTTTCCAGCCTCCTATTGGGCAGACGAGATGGGCCAATGAGAAGCTGGCACGGAGGGCGGCGGCGCGCCCATTGGGCCAAGTGGCAACAAAGAAGAGGCGAGGAGGAGGGAGGCTGGTCAGGCGAGACTACGTTACCCAGAAGGGAGCGCGCGAGGAACGGTTATACCGCTCCACTCCTGTAGGGGTCAGTATAGTTGAGATACAGGCAGACGCCGCTAGTTTGACTTTCCGTTAAGCTAGAGTAACCCTGCCTACCTACAGGGTTGTTGTGCGGATGCAATTAAGGGGAGAGTCCCCCCTTTTATTCAGTGAGGAAGACCAGGCTATATAGACCAAGGGTCCCCAAACTTGGCAACTTTAAGACTTGTGGACTTCAACTCCCAGAATTCTCCAGCCAGCTGTGCTGGCTGGAGAATTCTGGGAGTTGAAGTCCACAAGAATGTTGCCAAGTTTGGAGACCTCTGCTATAGACGCAAAGAGCCATAAAGTTACTCCAGGGTGACCTGAGTCCTTTAAAGTAGTGTTTTTCAACCATGGCCACCTTAAGATGGGTGGACTTCAACTCCCAGAACTCTTCAGCTGGCCATGCTGGCTGTAGGAATCCTGGGAGTTGAAGTCTACCCATCTTAACGTGTCCAAGCTTGAAAAAAAACAAAACACTGCTTCACAGCATCCTCTAAGACTGGCGTGTAATGCTTCATTGGACAGATTACATAACTCTATATTAATTATTCAAAAACTGTAGGCTTAACCTCCAAGATATAAAACAGATCTACTCTCTGTGCTGCTGATGAATAGGGTTTATATTTTAGGCCCAGAAAAGGATCGATGTTAGAAGCTTGGTAAAAGATGAACCTGCCTTTTGGCATTGGATATGAGCAGAAAATAAGAAATGGAGGCTTTGTGTAACAGTAATACCTAAAAAAAAAATCCAAGTGTACGATTTAAAGCACCCCAAAGTGGGCCTCCTTCATCAAAAATTGCATTCCGTGAATCCAAGCAGTCTTTTATATAATATATTGCCCTTGGAACACTTGATAAGTATTTTAAAGGTTTGCTACATGCAAGAAAAGCAGCAGCAGTTAAACCATTTTGAAAAATAAATCTTGTCTCTGCAGAGGTTAACCTTTTGAGGAGGCACATGGATCAGAGGTGGGTCTTCAGCAGGTTCTGACCAGTTCTGGAGAACCGGTAGCGTAAATTTTGAGTGGTTCCGAGAACCGGCAAATCCCACCTCTGACTGGCCCCATCTATTATCCGCCTCCCATTAAGTCCCAGCTGATCGGCTGGGTCTTCTTTGGTTGCCCTGAACAGGAGAACAGAGCTGGAAAGCAGGTCAGTGGGGTGGGGAGGGAATGGGGATTTTACAGTATCCTTCCCCTGCCACGCCCACCAAGCCACGCCCTCAGAACCGGTAGTAAAAAATTTTGAATCCCACCACTAACGTGGATGCTTCACATGATTTATGACTGTGATTTGTGACGTTTATTGCCAGTTTCTGGTTTTGTGCTGGTTTTCCAGCAGAAACATGTCTGTTCACAAGAATGGATTTGTTTAATGATCGTGGTTAGATGTCTATGAAGAGTCAGTCATCCAGGTCATGGTTATCCCAAAGGTGGTTGTTAAATGAGCCACCATGATCATCGTCCCAAAGAGGCCACTGGGCGTTCTGGTTTTTCTTTGAAGACGTTTTGCTTCCATTCCCCACCATCCAGTCGGAGCTTCTTGGATGAGAAGCGAAACGTCTTCAGGGAAAAACCAGAAAGTCCAGTGGCCTCTTTGGGACAATGATCATGGTGGCTCATTTAACAACCACCCTTCAAAAATGTCAAAAAAAAAAAAAAAACCGATCTGGTCATGTGTGCCTCAACGTACGACTGCAACAACTGACAACTGGATTTTTGGTCCCAATTGTCATAAACCAAGGACTCCTTGTTCAAAGAAGGGCACTCTAGCACTTGTTTTCATTCTGATTTCAAGATCAGAATCCAAGATCTGTGGCAAAACAATGAACAGACCGGAAGTGAACAGAGCAAAATCAATGTTTTATTTTACATTAAAATGGTGCCAGTAGGGGGAGAATGTATTCAAGGTACACAACATTTCTTGCAATGTCCCATTCAAAGAGGTGCGCCAGAAAAAGCTGGAGAAAGACCCATTTCCTGGCACGGTAAAAACCCCCACTCGTGCTTGAGGAAGGCATTTCCTACGCATGGCATAGATAAGCCCTTATCCTGGTTGAACTGTTTTCAAACGCATTTCAAAGTGACATTCATCTTGGAAAAGGTATTTCATGTTCCCCCACCAAGCGGCCACCGCAGGGTACGGATGATGAGAGGACAGTCAAAACATTGCATCCTTTGTTTCAAATAGAATCGTTAAAAAATAAAAACCCAAAAGGCATTTTAACAAGAATCTGAACAGTGCACATAATAATACTTTAAGAAGAAAAAGAGAGAGAGAGAGGGAATAAAAAGATTTTCACAGCTGATTTTTCTTGACGGCAAGAAGAGCTGCCCTCGCTCGCTATCCCCAACCCCACGATTTAAAAGCACAACGGCCGGCCGACGTAGGTGAAGGAAACAAGACGTAATAAAATATACATCCCACGAGGTTTTCCAATGGGAGCAAGCCACTCAGCTGCACTTCCCTGACGGGAGAAGGTGCGATATTTGGTTCTGGCCCAGACGCCCAAAGTCTTAATTCCCTTCTCTTCTGATCCATGGCAAAACCCACTTTTGCCCCCATCCAAGTGGGCTTCCTAAGTGAAAAAAAAGGCAGCTGCTGTTCTAAATTCCACATGGTAGCACCTAAAGTCATATAGCAATAGCGCAGTTGGGGTGGGGGGAGAAATATCTCTTTTTGGGGGGGGGCTGAGGGGAAGCGATTATACTCCTGAGACGGTCTGAAAAGAACGAGAGAAGTCACCTCAAAGCCTTCCGAATTCCCGCCTAGGTTGGATTGGCACCTTGGAGCAGATCCCAGGAAACAGGGAACACGCATCCCCGCCAGCCTGGGGAGAAAAAGGTGGCCTTCTCCTGGGACTCAGCGGGGTGACGGTCTCGGGGGAGAAAGTACGGGGGGGGGGGGGGAGTCTACTGCGCGAATTTGGCAATGAAGTGAATGGAAGCAAAGGCTGCTGCCCAAGTTCGAACTCGAGGCTTGCTGCATATCAAATACAAGAACAAAATAAAGACTTACAACCCCCCCCCCTTTCCAACAATCATGCCGTGCAGGGATAGAGAACCGGGGGGGGGGGGGCTTTTGAAAGAGCCAAACTACAAATCCCAGCATCCCCGGTGCTAAATCAGAGAGTTGGCAGGGCAACGGGATCTGTCTACGGACTTCCCAGCCCTTGGTAGAATGAATACAATTCCTATGAAACTTCAGTACACCTTACATTTCTCCACCCTTCACAGACAATTCCATGGACAGTAAAAACATTAGTTTGAAGAAAGACAAATCTTGTTTCCGATTACTTAGGCGATACGCGTCAGACAGACACAGCTCGGAGAACCGCCGAGGCCATCCACCGCTGGGTCCTTTCATTGCTAGCCATCACGCCAACATCAAGGCCTGCAGGAAGTGACCAACCTCTACGTTCCTCACTTACTGAGGCTCACAACTAGTAAAAACTGGCAGCCTTCCGGGGCAAGGAGTTGGTACAGTCCGTGGGAGGCCCCAAGAAAGAGTACCACAGACAAGGCATAAAATCTGTTCCTCTTCTCGCAATATCTTGAGAAAGCAAAGATTATGGCTTTGCGCTTAAGGGGAGAGTATGAATTTGGCAGTGCACGTTTGTAAACCCACCCGGCCCTCAACACTAAGCTACACGCCAGGGGCTCACCCTGGATCTCCCATTTACCTTTTGTAAGAAAGTCACTGCTCGTCAAATCTTGGGAAAGACACACCTGGGGACTGCTGTGAACCAAGAAGAAGCAGTAACCGTTTGCTCGCCCCCTTGTAGAAGGTGTGGCACGTGAAAGAAATGGAAGAACGGATTTTGGACTTGGGAACATCTGGGCTTGAAGACCAAACGTCTCTAGGAAAACACCCCCAGCCTCCCAATCACTGGTTCAGGGGATGTTTGAGTTATGGTCAAAGGGTAACAACTGAGAGCAAAGTTATCAAAGCCACTGTGAAGTTAGAAGAGTTTTCTAATGCTGGTCATTCTCAGTGCGATGTATGTACATTTTTTTGAATGTGAATGCAGAGCTTCTTCTAAATTAGCAATTCGAGCTTATTTATATATATTAAAAAGGGAAGTCAGAATGAGCGACCAACACCGATAAAACAGATTTGCTAACTTCCAAGGATATGGAGAGATCTGAGGATAAGATTCTTGGCTCGAACAGAAGTTGAGTCCTTTTTTTTTTTCCAGGACAAAATAACCAACAGCTAATGGACATGCATATATGTGAGAAGCCCTCTTTCTAGATAACTGGATATCATTATCTTTCTTTCCTAAACAGATATCAAATATCTGCTGATATTACATTCTGACAGAAAAACTGTGTCAGACTAGTAAGGAATCCTGAATTCGTTGCTCCTGAAGCAATGCAATCCTCACTGTTTATAAATAGACTTGGCTCTGGGAAAGACACGTAGGTTTTTCAACATAGTTCAGAAGTAAATTATCCCAGACTGGAAGCCAATGTGTTTTGCCTCATTGGGAAAGGGAGGCTACAGATCCAAGTGCTGATATTACAATTTCCAAAGAAGCAATGAAGAACTGTGGGTTTTTTTTTCCAGGAAGCAAACCAATGCTCTGTGTAAAATGACTCATTAGCTTATATCAAAGGGAGATCCTAAAAGGAACAGGTCCCTATTTCATACTAGAGATGTACTGAGGATCTAGAAACAAAGCTGTTTTTAGTTTAAAACCATAGCTCTCCCTTGTTGCAAGCTTCAAGTTGTACCTTGATGGGGGGAAGGGAATCCCCAGACTGTCTTGCTCAGTGTCAAAATATTCCACTTTCAGGATTTTCAAAATGGGCAAGAGAAATATTAACGCTGCTCCTGTTAGAATTAAAGAGCTGCCATTTTCCTTTCTGAATTCTTTGTTTTTAACTCCTCCAAAAAGCAAGCCTGTTCCCTTGGTAAAGGTGGAATAAAAAGCTAATTTCAATTGGTATTTAATATTTAAAGCAAGGGAGAAACTCTCAACTCTTTTATCCGTGATGAAAGAGGAGGATGACAAAGTTGGTTTGTGTGGGAAAAGGTAGAAGTCAAGAGAATTTACGCACAGATTACTGACCACCTGGCCCCTGGCCCATTAATGGGGAATTGAGCAGCCATCTACAGCTCTGCAAAGGGAAGTGGGGCTGAGATTCTAACATTAAGACCAACATCAGGCATGAAGAAAGTATTTGAGATGAGCAGGAGTCCAGTCCGGTGGCATTTCCCCTTCTAGCAGTTCTTTCATTTGCAAACAAGGAACTTTGTGGCTCGTTTCTCCCCCTACAATCCTGGACGTAGCTTCCTTCCCAGGAGTGCCCAAAAATTAGTCGCTGGATCAACAGGGGTCGTGTTGCCTTTTAGACTGATTTTAGGAGGCGAATCCAAGGGTCTTGAAGAAGGATCCTCCTCAACTCCCCTCTCCAAGTCTACCCAAAGTTCCCGTCTACAGGGAGAGAGAAAAAAAATAAAAGCCTTGCATTTTTGATATTTTATCTCGTTGCGTGTCCAGGTTCGCATTAATGAACTCTTAGGCCCAGGTTTTACAAAACAGAAAAAAAAAAATCAGCAGGCACTACATAAAATGACGCCCTCTTCTAGTCTGTAGAGTTTGACTGAAAATCCTTGGCAAAATCCAAACCAGAGACAAAGTGTAAGGCAACGGCAGTGTCCTCTCTCTGGCCGAAGCTTTGCTCCACTTAAAAAGGCCGAGGGGCCTCATTTCATTCCATGGTCATTTGTCCAAAGTTCAGTCCAGCTGACTTCGCTTCTCCTGCCAGCAGAAAAGATTTTTTTTTTTTTTCCCAATCTCAAGCCAGTCAAGATAGGCACCACGGAGACAAAACCACAAGCAGGGTGTTCAACAGGAGCTGGAAAAAATTCAAGTAAGCGGCAGGGCGCAAACACCGTTGGGCCGTTAAGAAGCCGGCAGCAGTCCTGGTGGAATCCTAAACAGGGACGGACGGATGGGCAGCCTGTGTTAAGAGGGGTGGGAAGGGCCGAGCCTCATTCACCACGAGGAGGAGAGAACACACACACACACAAACAGCGTAATATGCATCCATCGTGTTACAATAAAAAAATAATAATAATAATAATTAAAAGTGCAACAAACTTATGCTCATTTAGAACGGACAAGTTTCCTCCAACCATTCTGGGGAAGAAGAAGAAGAAGAAAAAAAGGAGACATCACCGAAGCCAGAAAAAAAAAAATCAAGGCAACTGGAAGAGTAAATTGCAATTCTCCGACTGTTGGCTCACTGCCATGGATGCTGTCCATGGGCAACCATCAACGAACACCGGCTGCCCGGGAGGAGAGTTGGAACCCAAAAGGTTTGGATGTAGGAGAACCTTGGGGCTCATTCAGCAGCAGCTCTTCCCTTGCAGCCATGAGTTCCCTTGGCCCTATAGGCTCACCACAGCCCCCTGTTGGGGGAGAGGGAAGGGAAGAAGGAAGGGGAGGGGGAAGCCCATGGAGAACCCAAAGGGGAGGAGGAACAAAGCCCATTCGCCAGGAATGACGACCCTCCCCCTTTTGAAGGGATGTATGGAAAAGGAAGGTAGGTATCCAGCCTTGTCTTCCATCAAGAGCAACCAGTGCCTGGAGGGGAGGGGAGGGGAGAGGCGGTGGAGGGAGAGATGCTCTCCTGATTTTACCAAAAAGGAGCCTCAGGAGTGAATGAGGAGTGAACGAGGGAGACCATCTGGGGAATCCACCTGAATGTTTATTTTGGAATTTCCCCCTCCTCTCTCTCTTTTCTCTCTGTCTCTCCCCCCTCTGTTGTTGTTGGTTTTTGTTTTGTTTTTTGGTTTAAAGTGTCCCTTGTTTCTTGACCTTCCCCAACATGAGCCCCCTCCCCCCCCCATTCAACAAGACTTGGCAGGAACAGCAGGTACGCAAAAGACCCCCAAAATGCCTTCAGGAGACACCTGTTATTTCTGGCGCTGAGAAGACTTCCTTCGTTTCCTCTTATAGAAGCAGCAGCACCTGGAGCACAAAGAACACAGCCAGTCAATAACAGCGTCCCGGGGCCTCCCCGAAACCCCTCTCCTTCCAACACAACAACACATAGCACAGGGTGGAGCCAACCTTCTTGGAAGCCCTCGAGACTTCCTTCCCCCAGCCACCCTCTCCTGCCAAGCCAGACAATCCCAACCCAATGGGACCGTGTGCGCTCACGAGGACCACACAGCAGGAATCCATACTTTTTCTTTTCTTTTTTAAAGCGGGAAGGGTCTCCAACCTTGGCAACTTGAAGACTTGTGGACTTCAACTCCTAGAACTCTGGGAGTTGAAGTCCGCCAGTCTTACAGTGGCCAAGGTTTGGAGACCTCTCCCGCTGTAATCCATTCTGACCTCCCGCTTCTCCATCTTTTTCCACACCACCTGCATTCACACCAACCAGGAAGGTGAACATGGAAGCTTTCATTCATAAGAAGCCACGCCGTTCCCCAAAGCACAGCCCGAGCCTCCATTTTCTCAAAAAAACAAAAACAAAATGTAACCTGGACAAGCAAGAAGCTCTCAAGCTCTGGGAGGGTCTAATTAGAGGTTCAGAAGCATGAAGAAGTTTGCATGAGATGCCGTTGGGACAGATCCATATAGCACCGGAAGGCGGAGGAAAGTCCGAGTAGTTGCTCACACGGAGATTAGAGTTGATTATTTAAGGATAAGTGGGATGAAATTTTGGACTAATAAGGACTTGGGTTGTCCTGGAGTTTTCAAAAGATCTGAGGTAAAATTTTGGGAGTGTCATTTGAACAAAAGGTTCTTCTTTGCTCATTAGAAAATATGTTTTTTTTTAAAAAGGAGAAACAAACTCCTGATGTAATCTAAATTAGATGGAGATTAAGTGTTTTAATACTCTTCCTCCTTATTTCATTACAAACAAACGCAAAATTCAAACCAGGAGATGCTAATTCCTCCTTAGTTACATTTTCATCCTGGTTTCATTCATACCTTCCTATTACTTTATATAAAAGCAAATTTCCCTTTTATTTGATAGGGAACTGAATGCAAAGTTCAAATTAGTATCCTGCATAAACGTTGCTGATGGCATCTGAACACGTTGACTGTCTGAATCCTTTACATCCTAGTGTGCTCTCATTAAAGATATTTGCACTTCCAATTCCTTAAAAAAGGAAATTAAAGTGACTGTTAGGTGCATGTACCCATATTTAAAAAGCAGGGTGCCATTTCTGTTTAACATTTAATTAAACAGAATTGATACCCTATTCATTATTAACATTTATTCCTAACATCCACATTTCATCAATTAAAGTATGTATTAAAAAGATCTTCTAAACCAAAACATGCCATGAGTAGATGGAACAAATAGTTAGAAAGATTTAATTTGAAGTACTTCCTTGGAACTCCCAAATTACCTCTCACTATCTTCAAAAGTTCAACCCTCTAAAAAATAGTCTTTCTCCTCTGCTGGATGAAGTTTAATCTGTCTGTCCATGTAACACATTTCTTCTACAGTACGGATTCCAGCCTTGGCAACTTTAAGACTTCTGGACTTCAACTCCCAGAATTCCCTAGCCAGCCAGCTGGGAGTTGAAATCCACAGGTCTTAAAAGTTGCCAAGGTTGTTCGCTAGCACCTTTTTCCAGCTTGATGTCCTGCAAGTGATGGGAATTTTATCATACTCAGATGAGGATGACTGAATTAGTAATTTAACAGAGTTGAAGGGCAGCAGATTGTTGAATGCTGGGCTAAACTGTGTCCTGGCCTGCCTGGGATAAATGACAAAAAAAAAACCCAGCTTGCTGACATCACTACAAGTTTCAGTGCAGGAAATAAAACCCAGCCAAATTATGGAAACCACAGTAGGTTAGAAAAATGTCAATCGGTATAAATTAACTATGTTAACCTTTCTTTACCCCCATTCCTGAAAAATACTTCCCACCAACTTTTGCTATCTAAGGTAGTCTTCCTTGGGAACTGATGACATCAGAATTGGGTAAGAGTACAAAACTCACAAAGTCCTTTATCTTGTGGAATGGATCAACCCCACAAAAGGGATTTGGACAGCGAGAAAGGCGGAATATACATTTAATAAATAAAGAATAAATAAAACAATAAAAGATGCTGGGGGGAGCAGGGGGAGGAGATGGCAACCTTCTAATTGCGGTGTCCAACTCTTTCAGTTCACGTACTAATTGCAAATGGTCATATTCAGCATCTTGCAAAAAAGGGTTCCTAGACAATCAGTTCCTTGACCAATTGTTTAGGCTATGAGATTATAGAGAAATACTCCAGATTTGCATTTAGGTCTAAAATAAATTTCCTCAGGTACTTGATTAGCTGATTGGTTGGTTGGTTGGTTGAGATGGAAGATATGTAGAGCATGCGATCCGGTATATGGACAAAACCTCACAAGAAATAACTATAATAAAAGAGAAAGGGAACATGGCTAGTGTTTTGACAAGGTTTTCTTTTTAATCAATGATAAAATGAACAACCAAAAGTGAAAGAAGATGATCGGTAAAACCTGAGGGGCGCCTGTAAGACACTAAGGGTGACTTATTCTGCACAGGTGGCCTCCTTTAATGATGACACTCAGGCTGGATGGTTCACAGAATGAGACAATCCAGTTTCTTATGAGAAGCCTGGAGTGGACCTGGGAAGCTTCACCTACGCAATGAATTCACTATGAAATGAAGCAGAGACACAGAGTCACATGGAAGGACCACATAGGCAAGAGTCTCTTTAACATACTATTCCCCACACTTGAGATTTCCATTTGAGGCTAGTCTTTAAGGCTCAACTCAACCACATCCACAGGCATTGGGGCTGCAATGGCCAAAAGGCAGCATGGCAGTTGGCCCAATCTACCTGGGAGGTGTTGTTTGGGAAAGAAGGATCTGCACAAAACCAACCCTGGCAGAGGTGGCTTCTCATGAACACAGGAAGTATATTTTGGAGTGTTGGAGGACTGCTGTGGCAAAAATGGATTAACCGTTGGATTAACCACAGGTACTTCTCTAGATGTACATATTGACACACCATAAGATGGCAAGGGTTCCACAATATTAGTCTATCAATTTATGGAGGTGGGCACTAAATTCTGGCTTTCCTCCTTCAAAAAGAAAGCTTGTTAAAAATGTTTCCCTAAGTGCTACTGAATAAATTCCCCTGAGAATTGGTCAGACTGAAGTGAAGAAACCAATCTTTTCCAGCTAAACAGTGAGACTGTGCAAAAACGTGTTATTGTGGAGAGCCCAGTTCATGACAGACAGATAAAAATTCTGGGCAATCACTTCTAACAATGATCTGGTTTTTTTGCCCATTGTTTTGTCTTTGGCATCCACTTCATTTTTGGCCTCGGTTCTAAATGGCACCAGAATGACTGTTTTTGCTTCCATGTGCCTGTCCATCAAGACTTTTTCGTGTGCTTGTCATCAAGACTGTTCCATGTGCCTGTCCATCAAGACAAGGCCTTGCCCAAGACACCTGGCCTTTTCACGGTGGGCTTTCACAACTATGATGCTCTACAATTCCTCTACCCAGATTTGGGTCCACCTTCACAAGTGGGAAAAGCTTCGAAAGGCTTTTCAGAGAAGTTATGTGGTGCTCTGAAAATATCTAGAGATAGTTTTACCTATATAGATTTTTAAGGTCTGTGGGTTGTTGGACAGTGTGTCAATATTAGATATTTGTTACAAACATGATTTAACCCTTGCCTAAGTAGAGGAGAAGGAAGGGTAAAATGAAATGGCCAGATCCACAACTCCTGAATGTCAAATACACATAGCATTCTATGCACAATTGTACATCCAGGGGCGCACCCCACAATTATCACAAACCGAGTAAGCTGAGCCAAAGACAAAACAGCTCAGTTTCTGTAATTTGGGCTAATGCTCGGGGAAGTATCCCCTTTTTGGGCCAGGAGTGATGCATAAACTCTTTTGAAAGATTTCACACAACAGAGACACACACACACATCTATTCAAATGTTTCCTAATCTGAAAAATGAACGGGAATCCCCAAAGGGTACTGTATGGGATTTTTAAAAAGTGATTTGTCTCCTCTCTCCAAGTTCAAAAGACTTAAATGAAAGACTGTTTTCAGCATCTTTCCCCAACCTGATGCTCTCCAAATGTTCTTTATGAAGTAAAGAAGGAGTTTTGACTGATGTGAGCTGCACATTGGTAGAACAAATAGATCACTTTTTGACACCCCCAAGAACTGCTATAAAACATTGCCTCAAACATTGAGAGCCACTGCTACTCAGTATATATAAAGTTAAACTCTATGGCCTTGGAATAAGCTAGCAGCCTTTAAGATGGGAGGACTTCAATTTCCAGAATTCTGGGAGTCGAAGTCCACTTGTCTTAAAGTTGCCAAATTTGAGAAAAAGAAAACAAAATCCCCTTGCCCGATGCTTTTGGAGGCATGTTATAATTAAAAATAACAGATTCCATTACTTTGGTCTTCATGGTTCCTTCAGACCTTTGACCATTCCAAACCACCTTTCTAATTTTTTTTCTGAAGTACTAGACAGTATTTCAGAAAGAAACACAGAGAAAGAACCTGGTTCTATAAGCCACTCAGAGTCACCTTGTGGTTGAGATGGGCTGCAAATAAATTTAATAAATAAATAAAATAACAGGCTTGGAGATCCCAGGGAAGTGGGGAGCCTGCAAGTGTTGGTACATTTATTTTTCCAGTCTTATTTATAAGTGTTTTAACTGTTTAATTTTTTTTTATAAAAAGATGTTTTTAAATTGTGTTTTTTATTGTTTATTGGGTTCTTTTATTGAACACCACCCTGAGTCACATTCGTGAGATGGGTGGCAATATAAATTTAATAGAGAAATAAAATGTATGTTATATAGCATTCACCCCAATAATAACCCTGACCGCTTCCTGGCATTACACGGCACTCTCTGGCATTTATGATTCAATGTTTATTTTTGCATGCAAAGGTGGCACAGCAAATCTTGACAGAGGCTGTAATACCAAGAAACCACTCTCAACTG